TGAGAAATGGAAAAAATGGAAATAAAGTCTTTGTAAATAGCGAAGGGTGGAGGGCATGAAGGGACGGCTAGGAATGGGGAAAAAATAAGAACCAAGATGCATTATGCAAAGGTACAATTCCCAATGAGAAATGTAATTGTGTTGTATATCTAAAATGTACCAATAAAAGAATTTAACAAAAAAAAAACAAAACATTTTCAGTGTTCTCGGCCAGACACTACTTAACAAAAACATAAAAGCAAATGATGACATAAAACTCAGAGTTTGTTCTTTCTTTTTTTGCAGATGCTGGAGATCAAACCCACAGCCCCATACTTGCTAGGCAAGTACTCTACCACTGAGCTACATCTCCAGCCTATCCATCAGATTTTTCTGAAGTTCAACTCACTATATGTAGTAGGGTTTACTAAAGTAAAGCATACCTCCCCCAGCGACCTGCGGACTTCAGTCATCACACTCTGAATGTCTTCCTTGGTACTACAGTATTCTCCCAGGATCCATAATGCTCCGCGATAGATCCTATGACCAGAACATGAGATCTGAAACACCGACCTGGAAAACATATCTTGAAGCACAAATCTTTCTTTGTGAATTTAAGCTCAAGCAAGAAAACAAGATGCTGCAGTTCTAAGGAACTATGGAGAAATATTTCAGAAAGAATATTACAAAGACAAGATCTAATTCTCTCTAAAAACCACAAGGAAAATAACTGTTCTCATTCATCATTATTAGGAACATTCTAAAACTGGTAAATCCAGCAGTGTACATCATACACCAAAATGTTTCCAAGAAAAGTGTCTGTTTAGGACAGTTACTAACTGGGTTTTTTTTAAAAATCATTTTCTATTATAAGAAATGTTCTTATTTTAATATAAAAAGTAATTCACTTCTCATTTGTGGTCACTGAAGAGACAAATGCTAAACAAAATAAGGGATACAGAAGAAGTACAGAAACATAAAGCAGGGGTTGGGGATATAGCTCAGCAGTAGAGCATTTGCCTAGCATGTGCAAGGTCCTGGGTTAAATCCTCAGCATAGAAAAAATAGAATAAAGATAGCAACATTTTTCTAGTTTAAAATGTTAAACCGAATAAATTAGTCATTTTGTTCTTAAGACTGTAAATGAATTTATTCAGAAAAATGAATCAATTACAGAAGCTGAAGCTTTATGAGACTATGGCTGTCAAAAGCAAAATCTTGATAGGATTTTTTTTCTCACAAGAAGAGCAAATCTGCTCACTTTCATGTATCAACAGACTTTCATATCATAATAACAATTTTGTATTGGTCCTGTCATTCCTAACTAAGGAGATATACTGCAAGTCTGTTCTGGTTTTTTTATCAGATGCAAATTATGTATTCAACTTTTTTTCTCATTAGCAAAAGTTATCTGAAGGCAAACACATAATATCAGATTTAAGCTGCATTTTCAACCCTTCAATAAACGCTAAAGACAGATAATAATAACAACAACAACAATAATAATATCCAGGAATGATGCTGTTTAAAAATATGCTACTTGGGCTGAGGATTTGGCTCAGTGGTTCTGCTGCTTGCCTCGCAAGCACAAGGTCCTGAGTTTGATGCCTGGTCCCCCCCCCAAAAAAAATGCTCCTTAAAATAATAAACAAAAAAAAAGCTCTTTAGTCACTTTAGGATTCACAATTCAATGTTTTGGAGGAATCAGAATACAGAAACCTAGCTAAATCAACCCTAAAACATTTTTTGGCCTATAGATTATTTTGACTTGATTATCTCAAATCATCTCCTTTCCATTACAATTTCTATCAACTGGTTGTTGGAAGATGGAAACTGATAAAACATCTACTTGACCTTATACTTAAAATACATTTTAAACCTACTTGACAGATTTAATAGCATGAAAGACTTCAAGCATCTTCTCAACAATCAGCATTCTCAGGTTATCAAAGCGCTGAATGGCTTCTCGAACAAATTCCAAGACATCAGCAGCTGCCGCTTCGTTACTGTCACTGAGAAACTCCATTAACTAAAAGAAAGGGGGAAAAAAGAGAAATACAATAATCATATAATTTACAATTATTATGAAAAATAAATTTACATTTATTATGAAATAATCTAAATCCAAGGCAAGAAACAACACATTTTAAAGAATGTAACCCTCTTTTTTTTTTTTGGTACCAGGGATTAAACTCAGGACCTTGCGGTTGCGAGACAGGCCATGTCAAAGAATGTAACTCTTAATAATTTTCAAGTACATGATAAAGTATAAGATGAGAGACAAGTGCTGGGGATTAAGCTCAGTGGTTCTCCCGCCTGCCTCACAAGTGCAAGGTTCCGAGTTCAATCCCCAGTACCAAAAAAAAAAAAAAAAAAGAGAGAGAGAGAGACAAGTAATATTGTGTATTTTCTATATGAAGCAGTTTATTATAAAACTCAATAAAAAATCTAGAAATTCACAATGTAAAAATTAATCCAATCCTAAGTTGTATCTAAAAGTGTAATTATTTTAGAAAAAACTCAAAGTTCAAATTTTAAAGTACAATAACCGTTCTTGGGCCCGGGGATTTAGCTCAGTAGTTTCACTGCCTGCTGCACAAGCACAGGACCTGAGTTTGATCCCCGGTACGCCCCCAAAAAAGTACAATAACCTTTCTTATTTATTGAATGACAGGAAAATATTCTAGTTATGTAAAATTTTCCCATAACTAATTCTCTCAACTTTTAAGAACTAATACTACATGAAAGAAGCAATTGCTTTACTCAGGAATGTATATACATAATTTTACTTTAATTATAACAAATATCAATTAAAATAACATGCAGAACTATTTCTAGTCACTCTATTTTTGTTTGTCTTTTGGCAAGATTTAAGGAAAAAAGTCAAATGTCTATCTTCCTGAGTTTAAGGACAGACAGAAAAACCTCCTGAGTTAAACAAGTCCACATAGTTGAGCTTTCAGGAGATTAACTGAATAATTACAATTTTTAAAAAAATTCTAGAGAATTTCAGTATTAGGATCATCAGAATTACATACCACAGGAATAACATTTCCAGCCATATCTGGAAACCGGACAGAACAGGAATGTAATGTTCGTACAAGGAGTTGTCTGTATTTGTCAGTGTCTTCATGCTCAGACACATTATTTGTTTTAATCACTTCCTTCTTCAAGACAATAACCAGCTATAGGAAAAAAGTTAAAATAAGTGAGAATTACATCACATTTGGCCTGATTGCTTAAAACTTCCATCAGAACTTTGTTTTACCTCTTCAACATTCCTAGAAGAGACAAGATCCAGTGCTAACTGCAGAGTTTTCTTGCGTACTTCTAAGTCTGGTGTACTCAATACTCTTAGGATGTCCATTACCAGATCCTGAAAAAGAACAAAAAATTAAGGATTGAAATCAATCTTTCTGGTCACAGGAAGAAAATTTTAACTGCAGAATGATAGGTTCTATCCTCTATCCATCACCTTAATCCTTTGACTAAACAAAATTACTGACGGTAGAAAACTAGGTATTTTATGTCTCCTGATGTAACGCAATATGAAGCAATATCAATAAGATGCATTTAAACGGACAATGTTTACTTTGATTTTGTTGTTGGTTTTTGGTTTTTTGAGACAGGGTCTTGTTGTGTAGTTCAGGCTGGCTTTGAATTCACTATGTAGCCCAGGCTAGCCTTGAACTCATAGTGATCCTCCTGCCTCAGCCTCCCAAATGCTGGGACTACAGATATGCGCCACCATGCCAAGCCATCCTTTGAGTCTATTGAGATCCAACTTACAGAAATATAGAAGCCAGAGGAGCAAATTTAACAACAATATAAGGAAGTAATCAGCCACATCCAAAGGAGAGGCATTTTAAAGGACAATTGCTCTGGTCTCTTCAACAAATCGGTGCCATGAAAAAAAATACTGTTCACAATTAAGACATTGAAAGGGGACAACAACCAGAATGATATATCATTATAAACTGGACAAATGAACAAAAAGGACACTTTTGGGACAACTGTGAAAATCTGAATTAGGACTTAATACTGTAAAAAGGAAAAAAAAAAGGTACTTAAAGGGAAATTATTAACAAATTTTGTTAAGTGAAAAATGTAATATTTAAAAGATGCATACTTAAAACTTTTAAAATGTTTTCAAACTGATAAAAATTCTAAAATTTCTTAGAGCCAATTACGTTCTGTACTACCTACCGGTAATATTTTGCCACATTTGCTTTATCATACTTTCGCTACTCCTAAGCATTTCAGTGTATATCTCCTGAGAATAAGAATAATTTCTTCCTCTTCTTTTTTTCTTTTTGCAGTGCTAGGGATCAAACACAGGGCCTTGCACATGGTAGGTAAGCACTTGATCACTGAGTTACACCCTCAGCCCCACATAATTTCTTTTTTTTTTTTATACCTGTGCTCACTAATTATCACTACAGGTATATTCAAGGATTTTAAGGAAGTAGGCTACGTGTATGATTTGTAGGCATCTAGGGGCCGGGGTCTGTCATTCTGTAGATTTTAACTGCTTGCTATATTCTGGGATTATTTTTTTTTTTTTTAATTCATCAAGTTTATCGGTACATTTTAGGTATACAATAGATGACATTCATCACTGGGAATCTGTGCCTTTACACTATATATCTTGATTGACATAAGTTCTTAAACACATTATAATTAGCACATTCAGAGAATTTAATATTAATATTCAATTCTGTGGTATTGGGGATTGAATCTAAGGTTTTCGTAGTGAGCTACATCCATAGTCCTTTTTTTTTAACTTTTAATTTTGAGCCACAGTGTCACTAAGTTGCTAAACTGCTCAGCTGGGGCTCAAACTTGTGAACCTCTTGGCTTCCAGAGTACTGGGATTACAGCCATACGCCACCATGCCTGGCTATGGATCTTTATTTTTATAACCATGATTATTCTCACTGTTAAACAGGCATGTTACTAATTTTCTAGAATCAGATCCATGTGTTTACTTTCCAAAACATATATATTACATTTGAAAGAAAATGAATATATCACCATGGTAAAAATACCCAGTATAGTACAAATAGAAAAAATAAAAGATTATATTAATTCATTTTTGAAATTTTTTTTTTTTTTGCAAAGACAATATCTCAAAAGGCTATGGTGATTCAACAGCTCACTGTTAAACAGGCATGTTACTAATTTTCTA